AAAAAAAAAAAGAAATTTTCAAAAAGATGACAGGATCCCACAATGACGATTCCACATGGACTATGGTAAAGCCATTAAGCTGATTAACACCAGGGAAAGATACATATTTGTTTTCATATTAAAATTTGATTTTTTTGTTATTTTATTTGTTCATACACAGGGTCTCACTGTGTCATTTTGGGTAGCCTGGATCTTCCTGCCTCTGCTTCCCGAGTGTTGGATTAATGGAGTACACCATAACACCTGGCTTAAAATTTGTTGAGAAATTTCATAAATTTAGGAATAACTGTAAAAGTGTCTTTAAGCTGAGTGGTGTAATATGGAATATGATTTGAGAATTAAACAAGGCCGCAACCATGTATGGACCTTGATGTCCCTATGTCACAGGAGGCCATTCTGACTTCAGTCCATTTCTGAGACACTAGCTTTGGGTCTAACTTTATTTCTCTCATCAGCGGTTTCCTACTTAGCCTAGGACTCTAACAACGTTTAGCCACTAAAGCTGCTGTAACTCTGCCCCCTTTAGCTAACAGTACTAACTCACACAGGGTAAGAACTAGGAGAATAAAGCCACGAGGCAAGAAGTTTGAAGCACTGGCTTAAAAGGCCAGCTTCATGGGGTCATTTGTGGTATATAGCTAGAGCGGTTCCTTGTTAGGAATTCTCATTGAGGTTAAGAAACAAAACAAAAAAACTGTACAAAACTTGGGGTCCAAAAAGCATGATTTGAGTAGTTGTGCTAGGAAGTGGTGTAACCTAAACAGAAATGAAACGTCGTCATCAAGTGTTCGAGGGTAGTCAGTTACAGCCACCCCAGGTCACAGAAGCTCAGGGTCAATGCTTATGTTAAGAGCATCCCTGGGATGATTCTGAAGGAGTACATGAAGGACTCAGTCTGTGGCGTTCAGATGAGAAATCCAGTCAAAGCCACCAACAGGGTCTCTGCCCAGGATAGCCAACTTGAGGGGCCAAGAGAATTAGGAACCTCAGTTTGCAATGAGGGGAAATACAGAAAAGAGCAAAATCAGCAAGTGAAAGGTGTTGGTGTGACAGAGAGTAATGGCACCAAACAAGTTCTCAGCCATTACAAGGAAAAGCTGTGAAAGAGCATGTTTAAGAGGTAAACTATGGCCACTGTGGCCCTTTAAATAGTTTCTGAGTTGCAGAGGAAGAATTTGAGTTAGACAGTCACTGAGAAGTTGGCTCTTCAAGGTATCACCCAGGCTTTAGGTGAGGATTACTAGGTAGGGCTTGACCTTCTCCAGCCCTTTATGTGGCTTCGGGCGACTCCCTTTTCTACAACCCTCTGTTTCCCTCTCTGTGAAAACGGTATGAGTAAATCCAAATAATACAGTAACAATTTGGGCAAATTTAGTAACCTGCAATTTATAATAAAGGAGTTTTTTAAAAGCATAAGAATAAAATAGTTTATTAAAGGAATAGTACATACAAGACATCTTTTTCTCAAGTACTTCAAAACAATAGCAATACTAGATCGTAGTTAATTTCTTTGTATATAAAAGAAGTGCAGAAAGAAACATGCCTTATTAGTTTCTATCTTACTGGGTATGGCTGTAGGTGACGTTCTCTATAAAAATGAGCCGCACAGCATCAGAGTACAGATAAGTTCACTCACACAGTTCATCTCTCAGGCCACCAGTGTAACATTGACACCATTGCTCAGCTCTAAACATTCAGCAAAAGGCTACACTTGGAGTCTCAAGAGACAAAAGCAAACACTTGTTTTTCTAGAACTACCCATTTATTAATGCATTTTGATAGGCTATATTCCCTCACCAAAATCAAGCCCCCTGTTAAAGGAACCACCTACTTTACATTCAGTCTAAAACGAATGAGATTACAGTGGTTTTTTTTTTTTCAATGTTTGCCACTCACAGTAAAGAAAAGAGGAATATCATGATTATAATTGGGCACCACACTATGTAGTCCCCTCAGAATAATCTCTAGAGTGTATAACCCAGCATTGAGTGATGAGGGAAAATCTGCCTTTACTGCCTACAAATTTAAAAGATGCTAAGCTGGACGCTAATTTCCTGGAATGGGGAGTTTGTGCAAAAGTGCTTTTTGCCCTGGAAATACATCCTGACATTAGCTGATTGTACATTATAACTTTTTTTTTTGTTTTAGTTTTGAGACAGAGTTTCCCTGTGTAGTTTTGATGCCTGTCCTGGATCTTGCTCTGTAGACCAGGTTGGCCTTGAACTCACTGAGATCAGCCTGGCTCTGCCTCACGAGTGCTGGGATTAAAGGCGTGCGCCACCACCGCTGGTTCCTTATAACAATTTAATATCATAAAAGAGGGTGAAGGCAGGGTGTAGCTCAATGGTAGAGCACTTAGCACAAACAGGCTCCTGGATTCCACCTCCAGCCCTGTAAAACATCACAAGGGGAAGCATCTGGCTCATTCCATTGATGGCCTGTGATACTTAAATATGGCGACATCTTTACAAACACCGTACCCAGACATCAATGTTTTGATTGATAATTCGCACTTTTTCATCAGAAAGGCTCATGTTGAAATCCAGTGCATATATAAACCAGTCAGTGTGCTCCACACCATGAAGCAGCATTGAGCAGATGACACATTAATGTCCTCACTCACTTACCCCACGGCTATGCTTCTATTTGCCTTCCAGGTCCTCTGCTGACACCTTGATCTCATT